TACACATACATACACATACATACACATACATACGCATACATACGCATACATACGCATACATACGCATACATACGCATACATACGCATACATACGCATACATACACATACACATACATACACATACATACATACATACACACACATACATATATACATACATAGGCCCACAGAAGACCATAAACTCCTCATCCCTATTTGAAATGACCCACATTTGTTCCTTTTTTGAGTACCTAGAGAAGATCCTCTTCCCAGAGTCGCGCCAATGGGACTGGGGATTCCACTTTTATTGCCCACATTCACAGGGCTTGTTTTACACGTAGGGAAGAGGCTCTGCGTTGGCGACGTCGGGGATTTGACAGGTTCTGCTGTCTTGGGTCTAGCAGAAAGATTCAGTGGCTGTGCAGCATCATCCTAGAAGAGTTTAATGTAAATAATTATTAGAAGAAGACAAATGAAGCACATTATCACTTAGGAAGCCACAGCTATTTTACACCTTCCAGACAATGCTGCATTTTCCTGCAATAATAACAAAAGGAGCTAATTATCTACACTCCTTGAAGATTCAATGAAAGGGAAACCTCATTAATTCTTCTGTGCTGTGCCTCTGTTTACATTAACTATGTGACTAGATCGTTCTTTTTGACAAATTAAAATCTGAATTAGCTTGCATTACTGTTTAATTTCCTAATGTGTTTTCTGAGATCTAAATTAACCCAGGGCATTCACAAAGAATGATTTTTTAAAAAAAAAATCTAACCAGCATTGTTGCAGTGTTTAACTGTGTCTGCTGGAAACTAGTTTTATTTCCGTAAACTGTAGTTGTGATTCTCTTGCCACTCCATTTTATGAAAAACTTTTCAAATAAAGACTTTTCTAGACAAGATGGGTGGCACATAAATCTAATAAATAAATATAATTTCAATAGAATTTTATTTTTCTTCATTTCTTTCAAAAAGTCTAGCAGAATAGCAATGTGCTCAATATTGTTGTAACAGCATATTTTCTGGCACAAACCCAAACCGATGATGAAATGTTCGTATCTTTAGTCTACCAACAACAGCAGACACTGGTACAAATGAAGTAAAATAACATCTTGTTCTTACTAATTAGTAAACTATGGTTGCTACAGAACATCACAGAAGAGGTCTATCTATGTGGTCATTCAGAGTTGACACTGATTTGATGATATATAACAATAACAACAACAAAAGAAACAAGAAGGGATGAACAGTTTGGTTTTATAGTTCTTCAGTTCTGCTTATTTAAACTCCCTTGATTAGTTGCTTTTAATCCTGAAAGTTTGCACTAACTTTTATGTATTAGGTCAAAAATAGGGAAGAGGGTCCAGAAGAGGTTTAAGATGCTACTATTCTAAAACTTGAAACAAAGCTAGCTTGTGTTTATGTCTTTACTGTGATTTATTAGTTGTCTGGTTTGTATTTATTTTTTATTTTATTGTTTTAAAATTATTTTAGTTCATGTATGCCACCTTAACTATAATTTATTTAAGATTAAGTTTTTAATTAATCTGTCTGTCTGTCTGTCCATGAGAAAGAAAACATGCCATATTCCCAAAATTCACATGAATATTTCTGAAGTTTCACTTAAAGTTTGCAATATTTTTGTATCATAAATCATATACTCTAGCTGTGTATAACTAGGTATATGGCTATCATTAAATATATATTACAAGGTCAGCTTTCATCAACTTTTTAAGAAGAAACGCTAACATGTCAGTTTTTAACGTACTGCATGCATACCTTATACATGGAAAAATAAAACAATCTGAATTTCATATTGACATATTCAGATTCATGATTTTCAAATTATGACAGAGGGTAGCTCAGTTTGTGTAACTTCTGTGTAATAGTTTTTGAACTGGATGCTATCAATAGACCAATGACACTCACTTCTTCTAATCTTCTTATCTTCTAATGCAGGAGAGTAATCGGTACAATATTGTCCAACCTCAGAAATGAGCCAGTTTTGCAGCTTATGAATGATCCCTGATTTATAAATGGTGATTGTGTCAACTCTTTTCCAGCTGTAACTCTTCCTGAGGTAGCCAGATTTAATATCAATTACCCATACTTTGGGTGTCAACCACCTTTATTATTGCAAAGTACTGTATGTGGGAACATTCTTGAAAAGCACCCAGAAATTGTCATTGGTGCAAAATGTAGCAGCCAGACTAGAACAACTATAGGGATGATATCAGTAATCAGTAAGATCTTTATTACGGTCAAAGACCAGCAATATACATTTGTCTTTACACCATATTAAAAATACTAACATTAAA